TGTGTGTGTGTGTGTGTGTGTGTGTGTGTGTGTGTGTGTGTGTTGCTGGAGGCCACCCAGGGCCTCCCAAATGCTTGGTAAGTGCTCTACCGTTGAGCAGCATCCCAGTCCCTGCTGATAAGAACATTTCATAATCTATATAAGAGCATATTGTACTTCATCGTTAACATTACACTGTTGCTGAGCCCTGTTTTGAGATTTTTTTCCTTAAAGACAGACCCTCATATAAACCAAGCTGGTCTCATATTCTTTTTTTAATTTAGTTTTTCTTTTCATATTCTTTGTGTACCCTCTTGAGCTTCTCTGATTCTCCTGCCTCCACCTTTAGGTGCTGGGAATACAGGTATATGCCACCACGTTCCCTTTGTGGGGTACCAGCGATTGAACCCAAAGCCTCATACATGTTAAGGAAACACTCTACCAACTGAGCTACATTCCCAGTAAATTGTTTTGGCTTTTTTGGACAGGGTCTCACTCTTGGCCAAGAATGGCCTTCCATTTACAAAGATCTTCTCCCATTTCAGTCTCCAAAGTGCTAAGATTATAGATAGGTATGAGTCACTGTTTTTTAATTTCCATGAGAGCAAATGTGGAAGTCAGAAGATAACTTCTGGGAGTTGGTTCTTTCCTTCCACTATGTAGGCTCTGGGGATAGAACTCAAATCATTAGGCTTGGTTGCAGGCACCTATAACTGCTGAACCATCTCACTGCCACTATTATACCATACAACGTCTGGAAACTTACCTCTCCTATTCTTTCTGAGGACCTGGGAATCCAAATCCTAGGTCTATGGACCAAGAATTCTTTCTATCTGGAATCAATGTCTTTTGGGCCACCTAGCCTAACTTTGAGGGTCCCCCAGTCTAGGGAGTTAGGCAGGTGGCAAAGTAAGAGATAAAATCAAAACAAACACTATTAACAGTATTTAGCTTCAGGAAGGGAAATTGGGCTGGGAATAAAAGGGAGACCTGGGAGACTTCTGAACCATTGAAAATTCTATTATTTGAAAGAAGGGGTGGAAGACTATGGAGGTGGACTATAATGTCTGTTATAGTAACCTGTTCAAAATCCTAAATAGGCAAGTTTACGTGGGACAAAGAAACAAAACCATCTAACATTTTATAATTTTGGTTGTGAGCCTAGCCTTTAACGGCTGAGCCATTCTCCAGCCGCTAACATTTTAATTAAGGACTCTTTTATCAGTTAAAAGATAGTGAACACCAAAGCCACAAGAGAACACTGCAATAAACTAGATAGAGACCCTTAGTCCCTGAGGGTAGAGGGATAGTAACAAACATCTGCTTGTAGGTGGTGTAATCCAGCAAAGGCTATAAAGCAGAGTGTTGTAAAGAGGAAGGTGGGGTGTGTGTGAGTTTGCACAGCCAGCAGTTGTTTTTTTTTCCCCTCCCCCAACTGAGGACCAAACCCAGGGCCTTGAGCTTGCTAGGCAAGCAAGGGCTCTACTGCCACTCAGTTAAATCCCCAACCCCTCTTTTTTTTTTTTTTTTTTTTTTCCAAGACAAGGTTTCCAGAAGTTTTCTTTAGGTGTTTTTTTTGTTTTGTTTTGTTTTGTTTGTTTTTGTTTTTGTTTTTGTTTTTTCTTTTTTTGGTTTTTGGAGACAGGGTTTCTCTGGATTGCTTTGGAGGCTGTCCTGGAACTTACTCCAGAAGTTTTCGTATTATTCATATATTTAGTGTGTGTGTGTGTGTGTGTGTGTGTGTGTGTGTGTGTGATATGTGGAAGCCAAAGGACAACTTGTGAGAGTTGGTTCTCTCCTTCCAGCAAAAGGGTCCTAGGGATCAAACTCAGGTTGTCAGGCTGGTGTCAGATGCCTTTATTTACCAACTGAGCCATCTTGCTGCCTGTACACAGAATTCCTGCATAGAAGGGGCTCAGAAGCACCTGCTTAATTGGGACAAGTATTTAAGGGGCTTTAATGTTCCCCTTTACCTAAAAAAACACTAAGATAAAGCTCATGTAATAGGTCACTTAAAAGCAGTTTTCTAACGTGTCTGTTATTTATATGTCATGTCACATAAAACTGAGAAAATGTCAACTGTCTATAACAAAGAACAGAGGAAGGGAGGTGTGAAAAGGAAGGTGATGGAAATCACCTCCAGGGCTCTGGCCATGGGAGATCAAATAATGCCTCTTGGTGAAATAGACAGGTGTGAAGATCTTGTCCTGTGAAGAATTCAAGGCAAGTGTGTGGTCCAGGTGTGGTGCACCCCATAATCCCTAAACTCCATAGGAAGAGGCAGACAGATGGAGACCACTCTCCACTATCACACAGAGAACACCAACTCAGCATAAATACAGTTTGGGCTAGCATATGAAGAGACAAATTTAGACAGCTGTGGTCACTTCACAGCATCAACTGGGATCCCAGGAAATCCTCCATGCCATGTATGAGCTAAAATGGGCTTTTATTAAAAATTCAGCTTGGCAGGGCTGAGAGACGACTCAGAGGGTGAAGGTCTTTACAGTATAAGCCTGACAAACATGAACTGGATCACTGGAATTCATGTAAAGGTTAATGACCCCCAAGTACACAGCACAGCACACTTTCATGGCAGCATGTGCACATTGAGATAGGGTGTTACTGTGTAGCACTGACTGGACTGGAACTGCAGATCTATGCCTGCCTCTACCTCCCAAGTGCTGGGAGTAGTCAGTCAGTCGGCCCTGCCAATAATAATAATAGTAATTAATAATAATAATAATAATAATAATAATTTTCAAATTTAGCTTGGAAGCTGGACCTGATGCCTCACACTTGTAATTAATGACCCAAGGCCTCAGGTGAACCGAGAAACTCCAGCAGAGGAGTTGACAAGACGATAAAACTTGACCACAAGAAGGTCAACATACTAACCTCCTTTGGTTTTTACAACTTTGAGACAATTTAACTGGAACAGATCTGCAGAGGAAAACTGCCATCCAGAGTTCCCTTTTCTGTCCTATGAAACCTCCAAACTCCCTGAACCACTGTGCAGTCTCTACTTCTGAGAAGAGACTGCTGGTCTTCATTGTTCTAATAAAAAGACAACCTGCTTCTTGAGGTCGGCCTTTCTTACTTTCAGGTCACCTTGATCAATCCTGATCTAACAATAAAGCCAGCACTTGGGAATCAGATGGATCCCTGTGAGTTAGAGGCCCTCCAGAGCTACACAGTGAAACTCCTATCTTGAAAAAAAAAAAAAAAAGGTCCGTGAACCAACAATCACCTTGGCCTGGCAGGGTGCACAGACCTATAATCTCAGCACTGTGGAGGTGGAGGATGGGAGGACTGCTAGGGGTTTAATTAATCTGGGATACATGCAAAGTCTGACGTCAAAAAAAAATCAGTTTGACTTTTCAGCTTTTGCACTGTTAAAAACAGTACATACAACATCACAAAAATTTTTTTTTGTTTGTTTTTCGAGACAGGGTTTCTCTGTATTGTTTTGAAGGCTGTCCTGGAACTAGTTCTTGTAGACCAGGCTGGCCTCGAACTCACAAAGATCCGCTTGCCTCTGCCTCCCGAGTACTGCATTAAAGACGTGTGCCACCACCACCTGGCATTTCCTGAAATTTTTTTGAGACAGCACAGGAGCTTTGAACTCTGGTCCTCCTGCCTCAGCTTCCAGGTTGCTGGAATTACAGGTGTGTGTGAGAGCACTCACCGCTATTACACTTAGGTTTTGTTTTGTTTCCCTCCAGGGGCCAATCAGTTTGGTCGGCGCATTCTCACGTGCTAGCGAACAAATATAAACACTATGGTTGCATGGTGGGCATTCGGTCTCGTGGCAGGGCCGACTGACTGACTACCACAGACAAGTCTGGCTGTGCGGGACACAGGGCTGGAGAGGCCACCTCAGTGGACGTCCAGAACACGGTCACCTTTTCCGGCTCAGACCGCGTCTCAGGAACGTGACTGTACAGGGTCACGCCCAGAACGCCCCAGGGGTCGGGCCTCAGAACCCGGGGTTGGGCCAGGCTTCTGGGCGTCCCTAAGGGCTGCTCGATGCCCGGATGCTTCCGAACCCGGGTACCCGGAGGCACCCGGGGCCGCGGGGCAGGAGATGCGCTCCCACGCCCCTCCTCGCAGGGCGGCTCCCGGCAGGCTCTGGGCGTAGAATCTAGACAGCGTTCTGCCAGTCCAGGCCCGCTCATTGGCGCGTCACGCCGCGACCCGCCC